AGGAAGACTTGTTCAAGGTCTGTGAACATTTTAAAACATTCACTGCAGAGTTTCCCGCAAGAGTAAACCTTGAAGTAGTCTCGGGACAACCAGACCGATGTTTCTGTGATGGAGTGTCACCACTGTTTGCCTCTTGGAAATGCACACAAAACTTCATGTTGACCCAACTATTCATTTATTTTGGCAGTCTGCTTCCTTTAAAAAGCAATGATTTAAGCATTAATTTCTTTGCCTACTTCCTTGGTAGGTGCCATAATAACAATGTCATACCACAAATAAGTGCAAAAAAAAAACAACAATATAGAGCAAAAGTCTGCTCACAATGACAGCTAAGAGGCCACTGGCTGTGATATTCTGGTCACTCCTGAGAGCTCTTAGATACCATGATATTATGTAGCAATTATATTATTGTCACACAAAACAAAAACACAAGACCAAGTCTCTTGCCAAAACAATGCAGTGACATTATTTTGACAAATACTAAACGAAAATCATATGAAAATAAAATTACAGCTTCATTTTGTTTAAAATCTTACATAATTTAGGTAACCTCTGTTGTTGTTGTTGTTGTACTCTGCAAACCTGATAAATGTTTCCTCTTCAAAATACTTAAAATACCAGACACTTCAATATAACCGAGGTTATTTCCTTTGCAAGTATTAAAAAATATTTACATTCTTTTCATGTTACTCTTGGAGTTAACGAATTAACAGGCAGGTATCATCACAAGATCTATTAATGCTGTAACCATATGTGAGAAAACACCTAGGCAAAAAGGAGCCAGTGCATTGCTTTATTCTTACTTGTTCAAGTCAATTTTGAAAGTGTTGCCATTGATGCAAAGTTTGTTTCAGGATACCTTTCTCTAGTTTTATGCCATTTGAATCTTATATCCAGACTTGTATACTGCCACTTTATTCTCGAGATTTGTGCCATATGAAGTCTTCCAAGCTTGCTTGATGGGGTTCTGGGAGTTCTTCTACTCCCTAAGCCCAGCCTGAGGCCAGGCTTGACTTGTGAGAGTTTGGTCCACTAGGCTGTTGCTTGGAGCAGCCCGCAGATCCACATATCCACCACAGCCCGGTTGGTCCGGAACGTCTTAGAAAACGGTCTAGTTTTCTGTGTTTGTGCGTTTGATTATGGCATCTAAGAACTCTACGAAGTGTGAAGTTGCCAATTACTGACCAAGCTTTTGTTGAGCTTGAAGCTGGGGAACAAATACTTCCTTTTGCCGACCTTCAGCCATAAGCTTCTCGATTTCCTCCACACTGGGGAAAGGGGAGAAAATAATATTACAATATTATATTAATATAGGGAGAATAATTCTGACAAAATTAATGCTTACAGATCACAACCAAATTGAGGTGGAGACCTGGTTGACGACCGGGCTGTGGGGACACTAAGCCCCGGAAGCACCTCAAGGTAGGTTCAGACATGCATGGGCAATATGCATGTGAAACATGGAAATATGCTCCACACCTGTGGAGCCAGTCCCAAATCCGAGGAGGAGAATTCATCCAATTCAATTTTAATAAACAAGTAACTGGGAACAATTAAATTAAGACCCCTGTAGAAATATGCTTGGAAAGACAGCTAGATAATGCAAACTTAAACCAGTGCTTTGAGTAAATAGGCACAATAGCCATAGAAATAGGTACAAGTCACATACCACTAAGGAGAAAAAGATGAAAATTGGAATGAGAACGGCGTTCCCTCTATAGGCGAAGAAAACAAATTACAGAACAAATCGAGCACTCCTCTCTAACCCCAAACAACAAAGAAAGCCACATAGAGAAATAGAAATGATCAAGCTAATGTTGCAAGATTCATATAAAATCCAGGTAATGCAAAGAGAGCAAAAGGCCATAAGTGAAAGAGAATTCAAAAGCACTTTGAATAGAATCGAAGAAATACAGAGACTACAGTACAATACAAATCTGTTTTCAGTGAACCCCTGAACACACAGATCAATGATCCAAATGAATTCTTTATGAATGCGACACCAACATTGAACCATATATCAGGTGTCACCTTAACCCCACTGGACTTTGAAATAGCCAGAGACAGCATGCCCAAGCACTCTGCACCAGGCCCAGACTCGTGGAATTTTATATTCATCAAGAATGGAAAAAAAAAAAAAAACATGCCTTGAACATCTTTTGTACACAGAGCCTACAAAAGACTAGTGTTATCCCCAACATACTTCAAACAATGGAGAGCACACCACTTCACAAGGGAGGTAGTAAAGCAGATGCAAAAAAAAAAAATAAATATATATATATATATATATATATATATATATATATAAAATATGTCGTACCTAGTAGCCAGAACGCACTTCTCAGCCTACTATGCAAGGCCCGATTTGCCTAATAAGCCAAGTTTTCATGAATTAATATATTTTCTCTAATTGTTTTCTTATGAAATGATAAAGCTACCCATTTCATTATGTCTGAGGTCAATTTTTTTATTGGAGTTAAAATTAACGAAGATATATGACCGAACCTAACCAACCCTACCTAACCTAACCTAAGGTTAGGTTAGGTTAGGTAGCCGAAAAAGTTAGGTTAGGTAGTCGAAAAAACATTAATTCATGAAAACTTGGCTTATTAGGCAAATCGGGCCTTGCATAGTAGGCTGAGAAGTGCGTTCTGGCTACTAGGTACGACTTATTATATATAGACATATATATATATATATATATATATATATATATATATATATATATATATATATATATATATATATATATATATATATATATATATATATATATATATATGTCGTACCTAGTAGCCAGAACGCACTTCTCTGCCTACTATGCAAGGCCCGATTTGCCTAATAAGCCAAGTTTTCCTGAATTATTATATTTTCTCAATTTTTTTTCTTATGAGATGATAAAGCTACCCATTTCATTATGTTTGAGGTCAATATTTTTTTATTGGAGTTAAAATTAACGTAGATATATGACCAAACCTAACCAACCCTACCTAACCTAACCTAACCTATCTTTTTAGGTTAGGTTAGGTTAGGTAGCCGAAAAAGTTAGGTTAGGTTTGGTTAGGTAGTCGAAAAACAATTAATTCATGAAAACTTGGCTTATTAGGCAAATCGGGCCTTGCATAGTAGGCAGAGAAGTGCGTTCTGGCTATTAGGTACGACATATATATATATATATATATATATATATATATATATATATATATATATATATATATATATATATATATATATATTAGTATATTTTGGTAGCAGTCTTTCCTGTAGACATATATTATTAAATATGACCGAAAAAGTAAGATTAATAATTCTAACACGAATTTTCTCAATCCTTCGTACATTATGCTTCACTGTTGGAGGTAAATCAAAAATCACTTCTCCAAAATTCATTTTTATTTCTAGTCTGACGCGACACGGGCGCGTTTCGTAAAACTTATTACATTTTCAAAGACTTCACAAATACACAACTGATTAGAACTTGCGTTTCCCTGATTTTATATCTACATTTGAGTGAGGTGGGAAGGGTGATGTGGCATTACATTTGAGTGAGGTGGGAAGGATGATGTGGCATTAACACAAGACAGAACACTAGAGGATATTAATAGGGTATTAAAAGTATCAACACAAGACAGAACACGAAAAAATGGGTATTGAATAGAAGTGTTTGTAGAAAGCCTATTGGTCCATATTTCTTGATGCTTCTATATTGGAGCGGAGTCTTGAGGTGGGTAGAATATAGTGGTGCAATAATTGGCTGTTGATTGCTGGTGTTGACTTCTTGATGTGTAGTGCCTCGCAAACGTCAAGCCGCCTGCTGTCGCTGTATCTATCGATGATTTCTGTGTTGTTTACTAGGATTTCTCTGGCGATGGTTTGGTTATGGGAAGAGATTATATGTTCCTTAATGGAGCCCTGTTGTTTATGCATCGTTAAACGCCTAGAAAGAGATGTTGTTGTCTTGCCTATATACTGGGTTTTTTGGAGCTTACAGTCCCCAAGTGGGCATTTGAAGGCATAGACGACGTTAGTCTCTTTTAAAGCGTTCTGTTTCGTGTCTGGAGAGTTTCTCATGAGTAGGCTGGCCGTTTTTCTGGTTTTATAGTAAATCGTCAGTTGTATCCTCTGATTTTTGTCTGTAGGGATAACGTTTCTATTAACAATATCTTTCAGGACCCTTTCCTCTGTTTTATGAGCTGTGGAAAAGAAGTTCCTGTAAAATAGTCTAATAGGGGGTATAGGTGTTGTGTTAGTTGTCTCTTCGGAGGTTGCATGGCTTTTCACTTTCCTTCTTATGATGTCTTCGATGAAACCATTGGAGAAGCCGTTATTGACTAGAACCTGCCTTACCCTACAGAGTTCTTTGTCGACTTGCTTCCATTCTGAGCTGTGGCTGAGAGCACGGTCGACGTATGCGTTAACAACACTCCTCTTGTACCTGTCAGGGCAGTCGCTGTTGGCATTTAGGCACATTCCTATGTTTGTTTCCTTTGTGTAGACTGCAGTGTGGAAACCTCCGCCTTTTTCCATGACTGTTACATCTAGAAAAGGCAGCTTCCCATCCTTTTCCGTCTCGTAAGTGAAACGCAGCACGGAACTCTGCTCAAATGCCTCCTTCAGCTCCTGCAGATGTCTGACATCAGGTACCTGTGTAAAAATGTCGTCAACATACCTGCAGTATATGGCCGGTTTCAAGTTCATGTCGACTAAGACTTTTTGCTCGATGGTACCCATGTAGAAGTTTGCAAACAGGACACCTAGGGGAGAACCCATGGCGACCCCATCTACTTGCTTATACATGTGCCCATCCGGGCTCAAGAAGGGTGCCTCTTTAGTACAAGCTTGGAGTAGTTTCCTCAGAATACTTTCTGGCATGTCAACTTTCTGGCATGTCTTGACATGCCAGAAAGTATTCTGAGGAAACTACTCCAAGCTTGTACTAAAGAGGCACCCTTCTTGAGCCCGGATGGGCACATGTATAAGCAAGTAGATGGGGTCGCCATGGGTTCTCCCCTAGGTGTCCTGTTTGCAAACTTCTACATGGGTACCATCGAGCAAAAAGTCTTAGTCGACATGAACTTGAAACCGGCCATATACTGCAGGTATGTTGACGACATTTTTACACAGGTACCTGATGTCAGACATCTGCAGGAGCTGAAGGAGGCATTTGAGCAGAGTTCCGTGCTGCGTTTCACTTACGAGACGGAAAAGGATGGGAAGCTGCCTTTTCTAGATGTAACAGTCATGGAAAAAGGCGGAGGTTTCCACACTGCAGTCTACACAAAGGAAACAAACATAGGAATGTGCCTAAATGCCAACAGCGACTGCCCTGACAGGTACAAGAGGAGTGTTGTTAACGCATACGTCGACCGTGCTCTCAGCCACAGCTCAGAATGGAAGCAAGTCGACAAAGAACTCTGTAGGGTAAGGCAGGTTCTAGTCAATAACGGCTTCTCCAATGGTTTCATCGAAGACATCATAAGAAGGAAAGTGAAAAGCCATGCAACCTCCGAAGAGACAACTAACACAACACCTATACCCCCTATTAGACTATTTTACAGGAACTTCTTTTCCACAGCTCATAAAACAGAGGAAAGGGTCCTGAAAGATATTGTTAATAGAAACGTTATCCCTACAGACAAAAATCAGAGGATACAACTGACGATTTACTATAAAACCAGAAAAACGGCCAGCCTACTCATGAGAAACTCTCCAGACACGAAACAGAACGCTTTAAAAGAGACTAACGTCGTCTATGCCTTCAAATGCCCACTTGGGGACTGTAAGCTCCAAAAAACCCAGTATATAGGCAAGACAACAACATCTCTTTCTAGGCGTTTAACGATGCATAAACAACAGGGCTCCATTAAGGAACATATAATCTCTTCCCATACCAAACCATCGCCAGAGAAATCCTAGTAAACAACACAGAAATCATCGATAGATACAGCGACAGCAGGCGGCTTGACGTTTGCGAGGCACTACACATCAAGAAGTCAACACCAGCAATCAACAGCCAATTATTGCACCACTATATTCTACCCACCTCAAGACTCCGCTCCAATATAGAAGCATCAAGAAATATGGACCAATAGGCTTTCTACAAACACTTCTATTCAATACCCATTTTTTCGTGTTCTGTCTTGTGTTGATACTTTTAATACCCTATTAATATCCTCTAGTGTTCTGTCTTGTGTTAATGCCACATCATCCTTCCCACCTCACTCAAATGTAATGCCACATCACCCTTCCCACCTCACTCAAATGTAGATATAAAATCAGGGAAACGCAAGTTCTAATCAGTTGTGTATTTGTGAAGTCTTTGAAAATGTAATAAGTTTTACGAAACGCGCCCGTGTCGCGTCAGACTAGAAATAAAAATGAATTTTGGAGAAGTGATTTTTGATTTACCTCCAACAGTGAAGCATAATGTACGAAGGATTGAGAAAATTCGTGTTAGAATTATTAATCTTACTTTTTCGGTCATATTTAATAATATATATATATATATATAGAGAGACCAAAAAAATTATTATATATATATATATATATATATATATATATATATGACCTATTATCACGTATAAAAATCATTTCGGAGCACTAAGAAAATTGTAAAACCCATGGAATCAGTGTCTACATACAGAACTCACGAGTAATAGTCAACAAAAGTAAAATCTGGATTGTCCACCATGAAAAGTTCTGTCTCCTAAAGTACCATCATAGTACTAAGGTATTGTGCTTGCTCTGGTACTTTTCTCATCCTCATATCAAACAAGGATACAAACTGATGTCCATGGCACTATATCATTGTTTGCAGATGACACAAGGATTTTTATGAGAGTAGACAATATAGAGCACCGAGCAAAACTTTGTTTGAAAATCAAGTCTTTCAATGGGCCACTGACAAAAATTTGTTTAATGAGGATAATTTCCATTACTGAAATGAAATTACTGCACTATGGAAAAAATTAAAATATCAAAACAGAAACCACATATAAAACAGTTAACCACTATTGAAAGAAAAAGCCATGTAAAAGATGTAGGAGTAATGTCGGTATACCTTGTTTTTAACCTCCGTGCTGCACTGCCTTAACCCTCAAACTGCGCAACACGTCATATGACGTGTTGAGTAACTTAACCAAAAGTGCGTATCACGTCATATGACGTGTTGGAGTACTAGGTAAGATTTAAATGGCCCGCAGATACACGGGGTTCACCTCATATTCATCAGGGCACTTGTAAACAAGACGCCATTTAAAAAAAAATTGTGGGCCACATTCCCGGGTGTGAGGGCCTCAGTACTGAGTGAGCCACCAAGGCTGGCACACACAGCATGAGCTCACAGCACTGCTATTCAACTTGTGACCACAGTATCGTCTACAAATGTCAAAATATATATGTACATGCTATTATTTAGCAATGATTGTATTACAGAAGACCCCCCTGACTGTGATAAAAATGACCAGGATTCTGATAATAGCAGGATTGTTGTGATATTAACACTGTAGTAGGAGGAGTAATCTTGGTGGGGGAGGAAAGTAGCGTTGTCTGCTGATTCTGTGTGATCACCTTTAATTGTCTGAACTCACTATAACAGCTTAGTGGTTTGCTATGGTGAAAAAAACAAAACATGCAGATACTTATATATAATGTCTGTATATAGTGAATAAAAGCAAAAACAGTATGGTGGGAGGAGAATATTGGCGAGTTAGGTGAGGTGAGGGAGGGAGGGAGTGAGTGAGTGGCAGCCCGCCACATTGCTATGCTCAAAATTAAGCGAGTCATGTAAGTCACATGTATATTGTATTCTACAATCGGTGTTTTTGCTGTTATTACACTATATACACACGTTGTATATACCTATCTACATAGTAGTTCCTTATGGTGAACACATAAGTTGGTATGGTGAGGCCAAACAACTAGAATGGCTGCCACACACCAGCTAGCAGATACCTCCTCCCTCCCTCCTTTAACACCTCAACACCTAAATAGTATAATAAGTATCTATTTGTTTTGTTCACCATAACTGTAAAGCTAAGCTGGTATGGTGTCCAAACAGCATAGTGGCCATCCTACACAGCATGACAAGTCACACGCCAGCCAGCAGACGACATCACCTCCCTCATTAAAATAGCTCCTCCCAACATACTTCTTTTGCTGTTATTACACTATAAACACAAGTTATATATAATTATCTACATTTGTGTTCACCATAACAAACCACTAAGCTGGTACGGTGAGTCCAGACAATAACAGGTCACTACACAAGAGTTAGCAGACGACACTACCTCCCTCACAAGATTCCTTCTTCCACCATACTATGCACATGGCTAGTTATCACAACAATTCTGCTATTATTAGACTCCTGGTCATTTTTATCACAGTCGGGCTTTTCTGTAATACTATCCTCACTAAATATCAGCAGTTACATATATATTTTGACATTTTTAGGTGATGCTGTGATCACAGGCTGAACAGCAGTGCTGTTAGCTTGTGCTAGCGTTACCCTTGGTCGCTCGCTCAGTACTGAGGCTCTCACACCCGGGAATGTTGCAGATGATTATTTTTTTTCAATGGTGACTGTTTACTAGAGCCCTGAGGAAGCTGATGTGAACCCTGTGTAGCCGTGGGAGTTTTGAATCGCTCCCTATACCTAAAAATGCCACATGGCACTCTGTGCACCCTTGATTTAGAGCCACAATGTGTTCTTTAACCACTGCACTGTGTAGAACACAATAAAGTACAGTAGCTATGACAACTACAAGAAAAATGAGATTGGATAATGAGGACCTTTCAAACAAGAGATGCCACACCAATGGTACTTTTTATGACACTAGTGTTCTCTAGTGTGGAAGATTCTTGCACATTAACAGCCCCATTCAAAGCTGGAGAAATTGCTAACCTGGTGTGCAAAAAGACTTTTACTGCCAGAATCCACTCAATAAAACATCTAAATTATTGCACGAGTAAATAACCTTAATTTAAATATTAATAAAAAGTAACCATGAATTGGTAAACAGGAAACAAATAATTAAAAAAAAAATTTGGGTGATGATAGCATGATACACAGCCCAATCAAAAGTATTAACAACCTATAGTTTTAATTAATACTAGCTGAACTTACGTTCGTGGAATGGTGCCCTGTGCAAGATCTTCCATGCCATCAGCAGTGACAACAATATCATCTTCAATCCTGACACCTCCAAAGCCACGTAAGCGGGCTATTGCCTCAGGAACTAAGAAGCGTGCCTGAACTGGATTGGCTAGGGCTTCATCCAAAACCTGTCAAAAAAGATGAATGTCACACACACATTAGTATTTCTCACTTTTTAAAGGTTCAGCATATATTTGCCATGAGAAAAAGTGAAGGTTGTCATAGTTCTTAAAAATACACAACTGACATATTGTAAATTAGAGAGAGCAAGGGGGAGGGGAGGAAATAAATGGGACTAGGAGAAGGTTTCAACTGAGCTGAGGTAGGATTACAGCTCTTGCTTGCAGTTTCACCAGGTTCCTAATGATAATTTCCTAGGTGATAGTTTCAAAGTACATTCTCATGAAATATATGAGTCTAGGAGCAGGCTTCAAGTAGGATAACAGCTCTGGCTTGCAGTTTCACTAGATATGTCATTTTCCAGGCCAATTGCTCCTTGAACTTCTCTGAGGGGGCCAGGTTCTGGTTCATGGTCCCCAGAAGGCTGAACTCCATAGACTAATGCCCCAGTGTAATATATCACACATTAGCCCGATAGCTCTAGGGAGCTGCAGGGGCTCCCCACAGAAAAAGGGGTGGAAGGTGAAGTAAAGACCCATATGTATTCAGAATTAAACAGCAAGTTTTTCTCCGAGGCTATGGGTCCCTACAATTATACCAGTGGTGGTACCCTCACAAATTTTATATACAGTATGTGTGTGTGTGTGTACTCACTCACCTAGTTGTGCTTGCGGGGGTTGAGCTCTGGCTCATTGGTCCCGCCTCTCGACTATCAATCAACTGATGTACAGATTCCGGAGCTTACTGGGCTCTTATCATAGCTACATTTGAAACTGTGTATGGAGTCAGCCTCCACCACATCACTGCCTAATGCATTACATTTGTTAACTACTCTGACACTGGAAAAAGTTCTTTCTAATGTCCTTGTGGCTCATTTGGGTACTCAGTTTCCACCTGCGTCTCCTTGTTTGCATACCCCTCAGTTAAACAGTTTGTGTGTATGTAACAGTAATGAGTATGTTAAACAATTTATCCTTATCTACCTTATCAATACCTCTGAGAATTTTGTAGGTAGTGATCATGTTTCCCCTTACTCTTCTGTTTTCCAGAGTCATGAGGCGCATTTCTTGCAGCCTTTCCTCGTAACTCATGCCTCTTAGTTCTGGGAATAGGCATACCTTTTAACTTTTTCCAGCTTCTTATGCTTGACAAGGTACGGGCTCCATGCTGGTGGTGCATACTCCAGGATTGGTCTTACATATGTGGTGTACAAGGTTCTGAATGATTCCTTACATAGGTTCATGAAGGCAGTTCTGATGTTAGCCTGCCTTGCATACGCCGCCGATGTTATTCTTGTTATGTGGGCATCAGGTGACAGGTTTGGTATGATATCAACTCCTAGATCTTTCTCTCTCTCTGCTCGTTATTTTCTCTCAGAAAATATGCCCAAGGAGCTAAGTAAGAACAAAGCAGTGTGCCTAGATGGAGTGTCACCATAGGTTCTGAGAGAATGTGCATCTGAGCTCAGTATTCCTCTTCAACTGATTTTTCAGGCATCCCTGTTTACCGGAGTTGTAGCTGATGTGTGGAAAAAGGCTAACATAGTTCCAATCTACAAAAGTGGAAGCAGGGAAGACCCCCTTAATTATAGACTGGTATCATTGACAAGTGTAATAGTCAAAATATTGGAAAAAATAATTAAATCTAAATGGGTAGAACACCTGGAGAGAAATGATATATCAGACAGACAGTATGGTTTTCGATCTGGAAGATCCTGTGTATCGAATTTACTCAGTTTCTATGATCGAGCAACAGAGATATTACAGGAAAGAGATGGTTGGGTTAACTGCATCTATCTGGACCTAAAAAAAGGCTTTCGACAGAGTTCCACATAAGAGGTTGTTCTGGAAACTGGAAAATATTGGAGGAGTGACAGGTAAGCTTCTAACATGGATGAAAAATTTTCTGACTGATAGAAAAATGAGGGCTGTGATCAGAGGCAATGTATCGGACTGGAGAAATGTCACAAGTGGAGTACCACAGGGTTCAGTTCTTGCACAAGTGATGTTTATTGTCTACATAAATGATCTACCAGTTGGTATACAGAATTATATGAACATGTTTGCTGATGATGCTAAGATAATAGGAAGGATAAGAAACTTAGATGATTGTCATGCCCTTCAAAGTGACCTGGACAAAATAAGTATATGGAGCACCACTTGGCAAATGGAATTTAATGTTAATAAATGCCATGTTATGGAATGTGGAATAGAACACAGACGCCACACAACCTATATATTATGTGAGAAATCTTTAAAGAATTCTGATAAAGAAAGAGATCTAGGGGTGGTTCTAGATAGAAAACTATCACCTGAGGACCACAAAGAATATTGTGCGAGGAGCCTATCTTCTTGAGGTTATCTCGAGATGATTTCGGGGCTTTTTTTAAGTGTCCCCGCGGCCCGGTCCTCGACCAGGCCTCCACCCCTAGGAAGCAGCCCGTGACAGCTGACTAACACCCAGGTACCTATTTTACTGCTAGGTAACAGGGGCAGGAAGAAACTAGGGTGAAAGAAACTCTGCCCATTGTTTCTCGCCGGCGCCTGGGATCGAACCCAGGACCACAGGATCACAAGTCCAGCGTGCTGTCCGCTCGGCCGACCGGCTCCCCTCCTTAGAAAGCCTATGCCATGCTTTCTAACTTCAGAATTGCTTTTAAATACATGGATGGCGATATACTAAAGAAATTGTTCACGACTTTTGTTAGGCCAAAGCTAGAATATGCAGCGGTTGTGTGGTGCCCATATCTTAAGAAGCACATCAACAAACTGGAAAAGGTGCAAAGACATGCCACTAAGTGGCTCCCAGAACTGAAGGACAAAAACTACGAAGAGAGGTTAGAGGCATTAAATATACCAAAACTAGAAGACAGAAGTAAAAGGAAAATATGATCACTACATACAAAATAGTAACAGGAATTGATAAGATTGAGAGGGAAGATTTCCCGAGACCTGGAACTTCAAGAACAAGAGGTCATAGATTTAAACTAGCTAAACACAGATGCCGAAGAAATTTAAGAAAATTCACTTTCGCAAACAGAGTGGTAGACGGTTGAAACAAGTTAGGTGAGAAGGTGGTGGAGGCCAAGACCGTCAGTAGTTCCAAAGTGTTATATGACAAAGAGTTCTGGGAAGACGGGACACCACGAGCATAGCTCTCATCCTGTAACTACACTTAGGTAACTGCAAACACATACACACTATTAACTTGGATTTAATTACATTGTGTGATGTGTTACACAAAAACACAAACATCATATGATGTGCAGTTTAAGGGTTAACAGGAGTATGAATATATTGTATTGACACGTATTACTTATAAACAGCACACTAAAGCATTCTGCAAAGTACACGTATTCTAATAATAAATGAACAAGCATAAGAACAGCCAAAAAATTAACAATATTATTTATACACAATTCTTACATGATTGATGAAGTAGCATCCAGGTTCAATTGTAAGAACCATATTTTCCTGGAGTACCCGAGCGGTACGAAGAGATCGGAAACCTGGTTCCTGAGGTCGAGGAGGATTGCTTTCAAGATAGCCTCCAACATCATGTACATCTAAACCAAGAAGGTGGCCCAACCCATGAGGCTGAAACACTGCTCCAAGGTTTGCCTGTATGGACAAAAAAGGCACTAAAATTTGCGCGAGATTTAGTTAATTTCTGATTCAAGACTTATCTGCATTGCTTAAATGACACTAATATTAGATTGTGAAGCTTGAGAATGATGAAGTGTACCATCACATTATTACTACTCATTTTTATTTCTTGCTTTCTTAAGACTTTTTGTAACAATGGAAGTGAATTTCAATGATCTGAGCGGCATGTAGGCCTATAGTTAGAAAATCTTGAACTAAATGTGTAATTGATGTGATGATAATGACTTGCAATATCAAAGACAAAGATGATGGGCAGATGTGGTGCATAAATAAGGGCAGTATAGTACTGCACAGTACTATATGCAGTTGCCTGTGAACAATGAACAAAAGTGTTAATACATAGGGCTGAGTGCAAGAGTTTATTTATAGTAAATAAATGGTTGAGATTTTATTTTGGTTGCAATTCATGTAAAATGGTTGAGATATTGCTGTGGATATGTTGTTAGACTCTGCTACTAATTTATCACGTTGCTATAGAATATGAAGGAAATTATTAGGTCAGATGTATGAAAGTTACACACACACATCAAAACCATAATGATGTGGAATGTATAATGTATACAACACATTTGCTATTTCACACTTATACCTTAATCTGTTTGCTGCAGTTACATTTCTGAATTGTGGACCATTTGCTATGAACTCTTCAAGAAAAGTGTGATCAAGTGTGGCTGTGAGATAAGTCTAAAGTAAATTTAATTCATAACACGGTAATTGGTTGCTGTATGAATTAAATTAGGCATTTTGTTTTGTAGATGGGTTACAAACAACTACTTCTCAGAAACTGTATTATAATGAAACATTAACCAGTTAAAACACACTTAGATCAGCTTTTATTCACACCCAACTAGTCTGGCTCGATTCCACACACCCCCTAGCCTGGTCTGGCTCTCCATGCATCCCCTAGCCTGGTCTGGCTCTCCATGCATCCCCTAGCCTGGTCTGGCTCTCCATGCATCCCCTAGCCTGGTCTGGCTCTCCATGCATCCCCTAGCCTGGTCTGGCTCTCCATGTATCCCCTAGCCTGGTCTGGCTCTCCATGCATCCCCTAGCCTGGTCTGGCTCTCCATGCATCCCCTAGCCTGGTCTGGCTCTCCATGTATCCCCTAGCCTGGTCTGGCTCTACACACAAGCTAATATTTTTCGTAAAGTAAAAGTGCACTGAAATTGAGTTTTAAAGAAGATATAATGAGTTATGAGTTAAAAGATCATAAAAAAGCTATATAAAAAGGTATCCATTTTCTTTGATTCATGGTGCATAAAAAACACACCGTACAGAATCATTAAACTTATGAGTAAAATTTCTGAACAGTCTCATATACATTACATGCCTTGTTTAAACACGCTGTATGAGTAGCTCCTGGATATATTCGGATTCAATTTATTAAATATAAATGCATTTTTTATATGTTAACTTAAGAATTTGGAACTGACCGTGGTACAGTTTTGTTGTGTTCAGCAAATGCTGTACTAAAAAAAAATACTTCTTTTGATGTGGCTTACTAGAAAAAGAACAAGGGCCTAACATCTAGGGTTAACAATAGAGTAAATAAATACAGAGATTAATATTAAAATATATGCAAAAATTGATAGTTCCTAACCTTCATCATTTCATCTAGATCCCCTTGCACAACTCCACCTTCCTTCAGTTTAGTAAGCATGGCTCGGTATGCAAGACGATGCATTTCAACCCAAGATACTCCGGGGCGTACAGCTTCCATTACAGCAAGTGAAGCACTCAAGACAGCATTGTAGATTATCTTTTGATCTTCAGTAAATTTTCCATTTGCTGGGAAGGAGCAGGTGATGTCACTTGTGTAACCATAATATTCAGCTCCCATATCAAAAAGGCATATGTCTCTCTCTGTAATCTGTATAATAAAAACAAAAAACAAAATTTAAAGTAAGAGGTACACACCTTTATGCTTAATGTTTCTTTTAAGTGCATGACTGCAAATATAAGTTTTCATGATATCCAAATAAGGTGTAACTTTACAAGGCATTTTGTGAGCAATCTATTAAAAGTGGTTTTCAAGATTAGTGTGAATTGCATTTGCAAATAACACTTCAATTAATTTGCCCACAATGGATATTAAACATATTTAATAATAATTTGATGCCAATGATTCATCATTCTTTCAAAACTGGAACTACATTCACAACCCTTGACAATTTCTACAGTGCCCAACTCTACAAATTTGACACATTGTTTTGCTATACTGTATTGGGTTCCATACAACTGGAAGAACCTTTTAGGGTTTTTCTTTGGTTCCTATGCCATCTGCATTTATTGCTGCAGTTGTTTTTGCATTCTGTTTTGGCTGAGGGTAGAGGTCATCAATTTTGAAAAAAAAAAAAAAAAAACAGCATTGAATGTAATGAAACACCACTTTCTGGGTGAGACCCGGAGGCTCCCCAGAGATATCCAGGCTGATGTGATATACAGTATTAGATTTCTGGGATTAGTCAATGTGCATGGAGTTCTAGGCCTACCGGGGACCACGAGCCAGAACCTGACCCCTCTCAGAGAGGCACGAGCTTCTATTTCTGGCCTATAGAAATCCACGTGTGGTTGGAAGCATTCTATGTCTGCCATTGACTGGGTCAGGCGCCCAGAAAGGTAAGCGCCCCAAAACACGCCCCTATTCTGGTGAAAACATTGCTAAAAAGAGCCAAACGAGTAGATAGAACTCCCGAAATGAAAACAAGCAAACTAGCATGACATCACCACGTTGCCACTCCGCTGTCTGCACAACTCCCCCCTTCCCGGGAGGGGAAAGGGGGAGTCCCAGACCTTCACGCCGACTACCCACCCATCAGTTCTTAACCCTTGCACTGCTCACCTATTTTCGGCAAAAACGTCTTGGTGCAATTGTCAAGGACATATTTTTGTTATTTTTACAAATGTTCAAGTAAATTTAATGTCAAAATGTTTCCAAAGTCAACTATTTCCATTTCAAAACACAAATAGTAATGAAAACATTAAAAAACATTAAAATATAGCCAAATTAAAAAACAAAAAGCACAACTCTCTGAGCGCCTAAAGGCGCTTTGCGCAGTGCAGTGGTTAAGGCTGGATGTAAAAAATGTGAATAACCGCTGACTGGAGGGAGGGAGGATTGCTGGGAAGTCTCCGGGTCTCACCCAGAAATTGGGGTTTCATTACATTCAAGTTTGGTTTTCTGGGGAGCCCTGTCAACTCCCCGAAGCTAACTATCCCAAAGACAAAAACAAAAACGGGGACTTACCCGGGAGGCAGTCGGCCCTCGCTCCTCAACTCGAAGTCGAGATAACTGGCTGCAACCACCGACCCAATGCGACACAGACCCTATGAGGTCCAGGAACATGGACAAGGCAGCAAGCGGTCAGGACCCTGTTCAACCTCCAAAAACCCTGTGCCCGAATGTCAACCCAAGAAATGTTACCAAAGACGGCAGCCAAGGCTGCAAACTTACGAACGTCATGGGCACGAGGATAGACCTCAGGCTGGCTAGACTTGATGACTTGGGAGACCCGTGCCCTGGAACAGGGAAGAAGGGAAACCGGGTCACGTCCCCGTCCACTGAAACCGTGGCGCGCAGATAATGGCGGAGAGCCGCAACTGGACACAACACATGATACACCCCCGGCCTGATCAACCTAGCATCAACAACCCAAGAACCCCTCCGGAAAGCAGCAGACTCATTCTTCGCCACAAAAGAAGGCAGATGGCTGCAAACGAACAAACTTACCACCAGGACCAAAGAGCAGAAACCCCTGCTTTGGAGGAGAGCATGAAGCTCCTCGACCCGACCCCCAGAGGCTAATGCCAACAGGAAAAGAGCCTTTGAAAAACAATCCTAAACTGGAGGGATCACCACAAACTGAGGAGAAGAGGGAGAAGAGGGAGAAGAGAGCACCCGGTCTAATTACCAGGACTGCTCGGGCAGCGCATGAGCAGGCCGGAGGTGAAACAACGCATGAGACAGCTTGCGGAATGGAGCAGAAGTACGTAACATCAATACCGAACACAAGCTGCAGCGGCTCTGCCAGCACCGCACGATACGAGGCGACAATATTCAGCACAAGATGACGGTTCTGGAACAACCACAAAAGGAAGGACAAAACAACCATCAGAGACCAAAGGACACCTACGCAGAGATAGGAAATAACAGAAGGACTGCCAGGAAACTTCATACTCCTGCCAAGATGAAGCACGCAGGTGGGAGACCATCAACGAAGCCACCTGCGCATCATACAAATGATGATAGACTCAAATCAGAAAGATCAGAAGCGAAGACTCGAGGAGAAGAGCGAACCAGCCACGTACCAGGCCAGATCGATCTCTTGAAAGAGGCGGAGCTGCGGGAAGACCCTTGGGTTCGGACACTTAGCAAGCAGCGTCTGAAAACCAAGGCTGAAACGACCACCAAGGAGAAAGAAGGACACAACCTTGCCAGTGTCACATCAGCCAAGAACTGAAGGGTGGGTAGCCGGGGTGAAGGTCTGAGGCTCTCCCTTCCCCCTCCTGGGGAGGGGGTTGTGCAGACAGCGGCCTGGCAACGTAGTGACGTCATGATAGTTTGCTTGTTTTCATTTGGGGAGTTCTGTCCACTCGTTTTGCTCTTTTTAGCAATGTTTTCACAAGAATAGGGGTTTGTTTTGGGGCGCTTACCTTTCTGGGTGCCTGATCCCGGTCGATGGCAAATATAGAATGCTTCCAACCACACGGGGGTTTTTATAGGCCATTGTTCTTTGTGCCTCTATGAGGAGGCCAGGGTCCGGCTCATGGTCCTCGGTAGGCCTCCAATGTACATGGAGTTCTAGGCCTAGAACTCCATGTACATTGACTGATGCCAGAAATCTAATATATCCACATCAGCCTGAATATCTCTGGGGAGATATTCAGGCCCTCGCCCCCCCCCCCCAGAAAAGTCCTCATTACCTACCATGTAATGTAATTTATACAATTTTATCCCAGAAAATAGTTTACATAATAACAATAAATACACTAAGCTTAGGATAAACTTAAAATATGAAATCAAAGAGGAATTAGGAACTACCATCTAAAACCCAGTGAAATACTGTATAATTATCGGTAAATACCGTACTACTACTTCAGAATAAATAAATATTTTAAAATAATTTGAGAAAACATCAAATTTGGTGTGCACTTAACACTTTCGCGCTATCTGGACGCGCCGGCGCGTTCGGTTTCGTCTAACGTAAACGCATAGTGGACATAAAGTTATGTCTACTTTTAAAATATTAGTATAAAATTCAATTTTTATCCGATTTACTTTGGGTTTGTTTCAAACTGCGCGCTATGAGGCTCTCTTTCTCACCACTAGGCTGCATGGTACAATAAGTTCATGAAAGGTGTGGATAACTTCGATCAAATGGTATTTTGTCCCAAACGGGTTGCAGGTGGGTGACTTTAGCCGTTTATACTGGTAATTCTTCCCCCATATCATGTATTATATGCATATGTCTGTTTAGGGAATTTTATTCCGATCAATATACAACCAAAAATAACTGTGCAACAAGTATAATCTTGACAAACATAACAAAAGTAAAAATATTTCGTGTGTGTTTGACGCTCACTGATATGTTCCAGCGTTGTTTTATATTTGTCGCTATTCTAACTTACGCTTTGTTGATATTTTTTACCTATGGGCACATAGAACATTCTATTGCGAACACATTGACATAAAAATGAATGACGTACATAGAAAATTAATGTCATGAGAGTGAAATAAGTATAAACTTTCAAAGCGCCGTGCGTCGTCCCGTCACCGATACCGGGTAACAATTTCACCACTTCCCACACTCTTGCGGGCGGGCTGCATCATTATTCTACGCTTATATTCATATCACCGTGTTGGGAATTTCATTGCGAGTCCATTGATACCAAAATTAACGCTGTAGAACAAGTGTGGAGGTGATTACAATCCCAAGAGTAAAAACATTTTGTTGCTGATGGGCGCTCACGGCGAGTCATCTACGTAGTTATTTATTTGGTGCTGGTATCCCTATATGTTTCGTAACTTATTTTACTAATGTTCTTCTAGAGAATTTTATTGCGAACACGTTGGTACCAAAATGAAATACGTAGCATGAGAACTAAGGTCAGAAGAGTAAAAAGAGTATACACATTTGTGTTTTTACGCTTAAGCGATAAAAACGCAGCGCGCACATTCGGTTGGCTGAGTGACCTTTGCGGAGAGCGCGAAAGTGTTAAAATACAGTAATTACTTTACTATAAGAATGCAAAGTCAGTCACTGAGCACAATTTCTATGGTCAGTAAATTACAAAATAAACAACTCACCAGTATACAGTAAAGAAAGCATATTATAAATTACTATAAAAACAGTGGAAAGTGGCTCAAAGGATTTCCTGATTATCTAAATTTTACTTTAATTCTTACCTATTATTTATTTAAACAGTTTTTTTAAAAACTCAATTTTTAATAATTAAAAGTAACACACGCCAAGTAGAAAAAATACAAGTACTGTAGTGTATGTACTGTAATAAAATGGACTGAATAAGGCAAACATGAATATTTGTTATGTGTATTGCATAGTTTTCTAAGAATCTGAATATTATAACTCACTGTGCGAGTGTTGGGAGCACCAGCATGTCCATAATGTAGCACAGAAGCATTGCATCCAGAGCCACAGATGTTGGTATAACCCTGGTGCCGGCATCCTCCATGGTAGTAAGTGTGGTGTGCAAATATGGCCTCCAGCTGGTATTCCTTCATGCCAGGTCGAATCTTGCGCATTACAGCTTTATGAGCAGCAGCAGACACAGTGGCTGCAAACTTCAGCACTTCAAGCTCTTCCTTGGTCTTTATCACACGACTGAAAATATGTAGTTCTTATATTTTTTCTTTGTTTTACAGTATGATAAAACTCAACAAAACACAATGTTTTAAATAATGTTCAGTACAGTCACTTTGCAATAAAATGTCTCGGTTCAATTCTTACAACAGGACAGTGACGTTTGGATACGTTGTCTGACGAGAAGTAATAAGTAGGTACCCGGGAGTTAGGCGACTGTTGTGGGTTGCGTCCTGGGGAGGGTCAGTAGTTTGCCTCTAGCAATTAAACTACTCCAATCATTTCTAAGTGATTGACCCAGATGCTTTAACTGTTTAGAGAGGATTTAAGGTGCTCTATATTTTTTAAAAGCTCCACCTGTTTTAGGGGAATGTCATTTGTCATTGGAGACCTCTGACAATCATTTGCTATATATGGAAAAAAAATCTTGGTTCCCTTATTTCCCTCCATGGTCTTAGGAAAAAGATGCAAACCATGTCTGGTGTATCACCATCCAGTGTGCGAATGTGCAGGGTGGCCATGCTAGAAATCACTGACCTTTTAAAAATAGAAAATGAGCTATTACAATGTATATATATTAACAGGCAATATGTGTGCTATGTTAATATGATATTTAGGTTTATAAATGCATGGTGTGTGTGTGTGTGTGTATATATTATACACATATATCTGTACATACATATAGTTTCAAAGTTAACTACCGACACATCAATACGTTAGCATAAAAAAAGCTAAAAATGAGAAACAATGAAAATAAATTGACAAAGTTGTTCCCATGCAGCACCTCACCTAATTTGTATTGAAAAAAATGCAACTTCTCCAGGCCACTACAGCTTAACCATGATAGGTAAAGATGTTTTACTGGAATTTTCATGCTTCCCGGATGATAATTAACAATGTCAAAAAAAAATATCAAAACCATTTTCTTTTGAGTGCATGAAAGACAATGCATTGAAATAGCCTGTACAGTTTAAGGGCTAATTAGGGGCACCTCAATAAGCCTAACAAGTTTTTTGTCTCTGACTTAGGAAACCATAAACAAATAAATACTGTACTGCAGTATATGTATACTGTATATAAATTGGTTTCAACAAATGCCTACCTATTTTTGTATCTTTCCACATATGCAGAGCTACGAGAATTTAAATACAAGTACATTATAGACTAATTATTGATTCCATATGCCAGTGTCCACCCACATTCATCCACAAATCTCTTATGATCCAACTTAATAAAGACAAGCCCTGTGAGCCTTCACAATCTGGGCCCCAAAGAATATAGGCATTTAAACATTCAGATGCCACATGCCCACACCCTGGGAAAAGAATGGTGCAAACTGGCAAGCCTTAAGAGGTACTAAAGAAGCACCGCTCAAGAACACACCAAAGTGACCTCATGCCACTGGAACGTTCGTGTATGGTAAAAGCCATATCATATCCCCCTATGGAAAACAAAGGGTTGTCTCCAAGCCAGGAAGAATCGGGACCCTCATAACTACTAAAAAGCCAAGATAAACGAACTCATAGGAAACTTGGCCCGTCAAGGCCTAATCCTGAAGGAGAAACTGAAACAAATCCACATGCACCAATGAGGGCAAAAGACAGGTGTCTGGAGACCTCTGCAAATAGTACACTGCCAAGGTTTCAAACAAAATCCGGAAACGGACATGGGGAGGAGCAACTGAAAACCCCAACTCAAATATAGGAGTTTACAGCAAACCATAAACCTTGAATGACTACCTCTCCATAGAGGGTACCAAAGACAAATAAAAGCTGAATGGCACTCGTGGACCTCCAGCCTCGGAAGCCCTTAAAAAGCAACAGTTTTGCACAACAACAGAATGCACAGCTACATTCTGTGCCAGACACTGAGGTCAGAAGGCAATTCCCCAAAGGGAGGGAACTGCATCAGCATCACCCACGAGAAACAGAAGGCAGCAGTTCCTCGGCAGGAAGCACTGGGTCAAGTACTGTATCTTCACTGCCGACATGGAAGGGGGCAACTCCCCAGAGAATGCTCACCCACATGGCCGAGTCGGTCGGCCGAGCGGACAGCACGCGGGACTTGTGATCCTGTGGTCCCGGGTTCGATCCCAGGCGCCGGCAAGAAACAATGGGCAGAGTTTCTTTCACCCTATGCCCCTATTACCTAGCAGTAAATAGGTACCTGGGTGTTAGTCAGCTGTCACAGGCTGCTTCCTGGGGGTGGAGGCCTGGTCGAGGACCGGGCCGCGGGGACACTAAAGCCCCGAAATCATCTCAAGATAACCTCAAGATACCCAGGGTGCAACCCACAACAGTTATCCAACTCATGAGTTAGATAAACTGTTGGAGGTGAACAGAAACATCAAGTGTAATGAAATGTACCCAACTGTCTCCTTTTTTAATAACCTAATCAGAATTAATTAATTATAAATGAACACATAAAAAATAATTTATATTTAGCCATTTTATGACTTTTTTTTTAATTTATATTGTAGCTTAAACTAAGTAAATAACAGACACTACATGTTAATAAATCATAGGATGCATGTTAGATGTCATAACATACCATAAATTTGTAGAGGCAATGCAGCAATTTGGGTCTAGTCTTGACTTCTGCTGAATTCCTTGGGTTACAGTCTTTTTAGGTTATTATCACAGACGTTATAAACTCTTTACAAAGAAAAATCGTACAACAGGACTAGACTTGATTTAGATCTAGTCAAGTTTTTTTTTCTTGCTGGACCCTATTATGACTAATAATAAATTATCTCTTAACTAATATTTTTCCTTGTTTGAATGATGCAGCCTAGTAATGATCTACAGAGCTGTCCATTTATTGTATTAGATGAATTAAAATGTTGCTTCCTTCATTAACTCTTCAATGTAATTTTTGAGCATCTCAGGATACATGCGATACTTGAGAACATTTTCATACCGAATGCTTACAACTTTTAAACCACACAAGGCCAGATGCCGTTTGCGCATGACTTGGGGACCAACCAGTATTTCCTCATTTAAAATATAGTGTTCAGGAGGATGAATCAAAAGGGCATACTTATTATTACTCCACTTGAAAGAATGGAGCGATAATTTTCCTGCCATATCAATAATACAATCAATAATGTACATTTCTGTGCCAGGAAAATTTGGTAGCACAGCAGACTGTGTTATTCGTTCCTCTGTTCCAACTATTTCAACCAAGGGAGCCTGAATCATATGTACACACCTCATTATTCTTGAATCACGCCAGAAACTTTTGGCTGAATGATCTCTCGGGAGCATTGGCCCAGTATAATTTTTAGCTTCTAGGCAGAGCGCCTTATCAAGAACCTTCAATTTTGTGCGAGTGAGCCTCATATCAAAAGAATCTAACGTGTGTACTCTGTCAAAAAAGTATGGATTAAAAACTTTCTTCACAAAATTAAGGGGATATCTCTTTAGGTATACACAAGAAAGTAGTAAATCAATCATTACATCTGGTGGAAATTGCACAAATTTTTCATAGAGATAAATTTCAAGGGCATGGTAAAATGCAGATGCATTTGGAGGCACGTAATTCAGTAACCCATATGAACGGCCAATGCTATTAATCTGCGGGACAGTCAGCTTTTCCGAGTTCTTGATGAAGTATTCTCCTGCATTATTTAATATATCAGGGGATCTTATGCGCATCTTAACACAGTAATCCATAATCACAGCAACTAAACTTGGATCACTGATATTTACCTTTTTAGCCTTCATAAATCGTGAGAGAGATTTCATGATATCAGGATTTGTGTAATTTAAACTCATAAATGAGTAAACAACCCAGCGAAGATTACCTTCAGTAAGAGCATGTATATTTAAGTTGGTCCATTTTGAAAGCATTGGTAGCATTCGACTATTTGTCATCTTAAGTTGTACAAGGATATGCAGAATTCTAATGACATCTTCAGCTTGAAGTTTATACCAAACAGCTCCCATCTTCCGTTCAGCAACATTATAAAGGTGCTTGCGACTCTTCTTAACTAGTGGAAGAATACTCATGATGTTACAGACTTCCTTTTCCTGAATTTCTTTACTCTTTTCTGTTATACCAACCCAAATTTGTTCAACATACTTGGAACCAATATTCCCCAGGCTGTAAAAAGCCTTTGCAGCATCACATACTTGGCTAATCTTCATTTTACCTTCTGTTATCAGCACAATACATTCTGTACAAAGCGCTTCCAGATATTTGAGTTTGTCACCTTGGTAGTTATCCCGGCCCATGGCTCTCAGTGCATCAATTAATATCTGAGGATCCGAGCTGCTACACAATATTTCAATCAACCTTTTCATCACCGCTCCTCGGGTAAAATTAAATTGTGATTCTTTTCGAAACAGGTTCAGTCCCGGATTCCGAAACCCTACATTATTTTCTAATTCAAATATTCTTTTGATTACAGCCAAAGCAACTAGTGGGGTTACCTCTGCTTCAGGACAGATTTCAAGTAATTTGAATACATCTCCTAGTTTTGTGCATCTCATAAAGCCAAGGATCATTTCTTGTTCTTCTTCAAAATTTATATTTTTAAACAACTTCTTTGATACCAGTGGGAACTCCAGTCCAAGTCCCTCCAGCCTCTTGCCCACTTGACTTTTTCCATTGCTGACTAGTGAAAATTCGCCATTGATGATTTGAACAACAGCTGGCAACTCTTCAATGTTGGTACCATCTTGGACAAAAACTGTTGTGCTTGTTATAGTCTTTTCATCATCCTTCTGACACTGGTAAGACAAATGGAATTTTCTCTTGAAACTGGTGTGACCGTAACGCCGTAAATGGCTCCCCAAAGCGGCTTGAAAACGTCCACTAATATTAGCCATTGGTAGAGTTTTTCAATCGTGTCATTCAATCATTCACTGCGATAATTCACTTGTCTAGACGGTAAATCACGTGCTATCTCATTATCTACTTAATGAGTTGCTACAGTAACATTGGTCGTTGGTTCCGCACTTCGTCTCCAGGCAGGTTGTCACGAGTCACAGGTGTAGCACACACACACACACATGGAGACCATTAAATAGAGCCAATACCCGGCCCAGAGACTTATCAAGTGTTGACGTGACGGGCCAGGACGGTACTGGTTCCTTGCTAGGCTGGGGTCACTGTATTTATTGCAGTTTATTTGATTTAAAAAACTACACGAAAGTAGCAATGAGCCATACAATAACGCTTTATCTTTAATTACATTCAAACAAAGTCACTAACATGTTTTCTCGATTTCTAACCG